TCAACTGACCTGTGCGGGTGGGTATAGCCTAAAACGTTGAACTAGGGCCACAGTTTCAATGTCATTCGAGTATTCATCTACGCTTTCACCCATATTTGTATTGCTACCATTGAAGAGATTGATCTTTATCAGAGTAGAAATATTTCCTTTAATTGTAAATGGGTGTCAGTAGATTGAGAATCGACCTATACGTATAGAACTTAAAGGAAAGGGGAAAACTGATAGAGATGTGGAACAGAAATACCAATGGGCAAGATCTCTGAAATGTTGATTGAGTTGCTCATTATAGTTGACTGCTTTGCTGAAGTTTTTGGGAGTATTAGTTTCCCGGACAAAAAAGTAGAGAGTAGTAGTAGAAACAATTTGAAATTTCTTTCACAAGGCTAATAGGATAAGAAAGCAACGTCTTTTCCGGCATAGTAATCACAAAAATCTGTTTCAGAGTACCAATGAAAGAATAATATTCTGTCGGATCATTAAAAGGTAATCGTAGTTGGTTCGAAGATAATTTAGTTAGAGCTGTGGGCAGATGAAAACAAAAGGGCTTAAAATCAAACAAGAATCCACAATAGGTTAGAACCGCACAGTGCTTTGGCTTATTCCTGTATCTAAAATTGTAGAGTTGTTTGAATTCACTCCTACTTCACTTGTATATTTGTTTCAATAGTGTTCGGATTTCGTAGTTCAGACTTGTTTTCTTTTCATGGGTTCACACGTTGTTGAAAACTCTATTGAGAAGAAAGATGGGAGAAATCTCCTGAGTACAACAAGTAAATTTTCTCTCTCTCAACTCCCAAACAATCTCATCCATTATAACAAAACACTAGAAACCTTCCCCTTGATACAGCAAAAGTTATTCAAACCGGAAAAGACCTGAATTAGAAATTTCCCCCAACAGTATCTGTAATAGTATTCCCCAGAGTCGTGTTATGATTCATTGTACCCCCTGGTATTTTAATAATAAAACAAGTTCTTAACAACAATCTTTTATTCTCCTACTTTAACCTTTAACTTTCTGAGTATCTAATGAAAACAAAGAAAATCTGATTAGTCTTTTTAAACACTTTTCCACTTACTAAAAGATTCTAGATTTAGCCTATCTTAACTACTATTAGAATTGGCTACAGTCTACTAATTGGAGTGCCTTATAATCTTTGACTAGCTGTTAATATATAGTAATGCAACTGATTATCTGTACTTATAGGCCAGATTGCTAAAGCAGTGTTTACTATGTCTTTTGGTACTGAAATTGTGGATAATAGGGGATGAAATAAAATAATATCTTCAGGGATACAGGTAATAGCCGACTCATGATTGTGATTTGAAGAAATTGTATTATGACCAGTGTTACCTTAACTGATTACATATGGTGCTTAATAGAGATGACCAGCAAACTGGTTTATTGTCCGTACTGGCCTGTTGGCAACCTGTTCTTTAGTGTCACCATGTGTCTCGACATGCCATATTGTGGAGTCTCTCAGCATACGAGCTGCAGGCTAATATGTTTGAACCACACTGTACTCGCTGTGAGTACTGATTGCACAAAGTATCTAAAGTAGAAAGCATATCGCATTATAATGCGGTATCTACGAGTGATAAAAATTGTTCCTTGTATTTTTGTAGAAAGATAATGTTATTATGATAGGTACCATGGTGAAACCTACCGGTCGGGTAACCCCAGTGGGGCAGACTGAACGTGGTGGCTCTGCTGAGGTGCAGAGGCACCTGCTGAATCCTGGGCAGGCAGAATTTACCAATCAGGAGTGGTATCATGTGGGCCTGCAGAATTTCCTATTTGGCAGATAGCTTGTCCCCCCCTCAACTCACGCCCGCATGACTCCTTCCCTTCCTCAGATCAAATAATGCAACCTGCGGACCAAACCGCCACAGCTTTCTATCACAATTGTGACTTTCCACCTCTTTGTTTCTTCGTCCGATAGCCTCGTTACCCGGCATGCCTGCGGGTCCATTGTTCGTCCACTTATCATCCGGTTTACCAGACGGTCGCAGTCACAATTAGGCAAGGGGGAAAAGGCCTGAAAACCTCCCTCACCGGTATCTTGGCCTGCTGTCTCGATCAACCGCAGAAATGGTGTGGATGAGGGGGCCATACGGTGCCGGTATTGGGTCCACATTTTGTGGAGGCGGCGGCTAGTGCATACAACCAAATTTTGGCCTTTCGCTTCAGATCTGGGTGGTGTTGCGGGTACTGTACAGGGCACAGTTGGTGATAGAATGCCGGTGCATTAGCTCTCGGGGTTACTTGTACGGTTCTCTTTCAATACAATTTATTGTCCTTCTTCGCCTCCCTGGCTTCAATGGTACTCGAGCACGAGTACTGTGATCGAGGATTGTGGTGATATGATACCCGTCTTCTGGGTAGCTATGTTTAGCAACCACCCCTCAAAGCTTCAGCCCCGCATGCACTCGTACCGTATTTAGAACTAGAAATCAGGTTGGACAAAAGGCTGCATCGCAGTTTGTGATACCATACCGTACTATCGTAGACGAGTGCGGTGCTGTGCTCTGTGTGTGTGGCGAGTCCAGAAAACAATTGAAAATTTGCCGGGTTCCGCTCCACCCTCCATTGCTATTGGTGGTCTATGCCACTTACAACTTGCCTGCCAGTATCCAATATCCCAACAAAGCCTTACCGTAGGTTAGCTTGACCTACCTGTCCTGAGTACTCGAGTATAGGACGCCAAAATCCAATGGAATGATAAAGTGTGCACTGCCTGCCCGCCGAGTGTTGGTTTTACGTATTGCAGTAGAGTACGGGTATGCTCTGAACCCGTCTCCATTCAATCAAATTATCCACCATTGTATCCACCCTTGCAACCCTTATATAATCCCACAAACCGCCACCGCTCCCCTACCATTATCCTTCCTCACTCACGCATCCTCACCTTCACCGTCACCGCCAACAAACCCGTCCAAGAGCAAAAAGGGCAAACAAAATGGGCATAACCAAAATGGGCATAACCAAAATGGCAAGTGACCTTCCACCTCCAGCATCCGGTGAGATCCAACCGGACCCAAAGTACCCTCCTCCCAAGGGCACCGCGCCTCCCGAAGAACCCCCCATAGCATCCGAACCACCAAAGCCGCAACCACAACAACCGCAACAACCGCAGCAGCATCAACCACAGGCCCCGGTAACTGGCGGCGCCCCGGGACTCTACATAAACACGGTGCCCCTTCAATCGCTGACGCGCTCCCCGGCGCCGGTCCAGTGCCCGGTATGCAACGCACGTGGGTTGACCGTGGTTACCTACGAGATCGGAAACACAACGCAGTACTGCTCCCCCCCGTGCGCTCGCTATGAGCCGCTTGCTAATAGTGGTGGGGTTGTTTAGTCTGGCCGCACTCCTCCTCTGTTTCGTGACGAGTCTGGGGTGCATCCCGTACATGTTCAATGCGTTTAAGGACGTTGCACACAGTTGTGCGAGTTGCAGGACTATGCTTGCTGTCTGGCATCGGAGTGGGTCGCCGGGCGCTGTGGAGGTGCTTGTTCACCCGATGGCGTCTGTGCAGCAGGTGCCTGTGAAGGGAGGGGTCAAGTAGAACTCACTAATGCGGGGTGGTCGTTTTGATGTTCGCTTTTCGTTCTTACAACTTACTACTTTCTTTCTGTCTTTATTCTCTTTAATTTCACTTCTGGCATGATTTCCCTCTCTAGGCGGCGGATGTGCGGTATCATACTAGCAAGGTCAACTTGGGATTGGCTTCACGGTGGGGGCTAGGGCGTGTTAGTGGGGTACGGTGCTCTTTGTCGAGGGTTTGGCGTTTTTAACTGGGGCTTTAGGAGCGAACTGATGTTATTTCTTTTGTCATCACCCGGCGTTCCTTCTTTCGTATCATATGGGCACATATATCATTGCAAACACCAAGCCTACCATAAAACTTTAACAAAAGAAACCCCCAACCATAATCCACCAAGCCCACGATAAACCCCACCTTAATCCAGAAACAGCAATACCCCCCGATTACTCTTTCTTCTTAACACAAACCTTCAAGAACTCCTCACTTTGAAACTCATACGCCCTCTCCGCAACCATCTCCCAAACCTCGCAAGCCCTCCGCAAGTCCTCAATAGCCCACGAAAACCCATCACCGGCAGTGGAATCACATGTAGCATGCAAGGAAGTAGACACGAGCTCAAAGTTCGTTTGCATGATGCGGAAGGTGGCCTTAATGGAACCGCACACTTGCAAGAAGGCATCGACGACGGAGAGGATGCCGGTGAGCGCGATTTCCAGCGAGCACGTCGTGATTGTGGCTTTCTCGAGGTCAGCCAGGCCGTGGTGGACGGCGCCGATTTCGTCGTCAAGGTTGTTGCGCTCGCGGCGTTTGGACTCGTATGCTGTCTGGACGTTGGAGACTGTCGCTGCGGTGGTGAGGAGGCCGAGGATGGGGTTTACGAACACTGCCGGTTTTTAGTTCGCGGTGGAAGTGAGGAAAGGGGGGACGGGTACTATATCCCAGATTGAGGAACGCGCGGTTTCGTTCCCGATTGCGCTCACTACGCTCTTCTTCCACTAGGGCCCGCTGGATACGTAGGGCTTGTAACCTCGCCGACCTATCTGCAGATTCCCTTGTTATGGTGTCTTGGAGAGCGGACAGCTCATTGGTGATTTCCTCAATTGTAGACTTTAAGTGTAACGTCTCGGCACGTAGCTATACCACCCCCAGAGAAAAAAAACATTCAGCTTCTCCAACCCCACTTCACTCCCTCCATTCTATATGGGCGGGCACCGACCGAAGTAAACTGTGCTAAAATAACCCCAATCCTCTCCTCCTTCCTCTCCGCCAAATTACACAGGATCTTCAACACCGTGACCGCAGCCCCCCTCCTCCCCTCCCACTCCCCACCTTGGCGCGCTGCCGTAGGCGTCGCATCCAGTCCTTGCAACTGCGATTGCAGCCGCGGATACCATAGCCGCGCCTCCGTTGCGAAGCCAATGATTGCAGTGGCGATGCTCGAGATGTCGCTAAAGGAGAGTTGGTACGACTTTGTCAGTGCCGCTGTGGAAACGAGTGTTTGCCCCGTTCTCGAGTAGAGGTTCGATGCCGTTAGCGGGCTCAGGACGTCCGGGTAGAGGGTTTTGTAGGCCTGGTACGATTGAGGGAGGACAGTTGTTGTCGTGATGTACGTGTGCAGTGAGGTGTAGTCTGCCGCTGAGAGGGTGAGCAAGGGCTTTGGCGGCGGCTCTGCTGCCGCACTTGACGTGGTCGGTGATGGTGAGGGTGTCCAGAGGAGGTTGTTCGCGGGAGTTGAGAAGGGGGTTTGGAAGGAAGGGCAGACTTCTGGGGTGCTCATTGTCTATAGACGATACCGTTTTGGATTGTTTATTAGAGGAAAAGACGAGGAAAGGGTTGAGAACTTGCACTCGCTAGCCCACAATATGCTCCTTCTCTCTCGATTATAATGTAACGTTGTGGGGCCACCCCCGTGTGATCTTCCCGATAGCGAGGCTCCGGGTGATATTCTGTGCCCGGTTGATAGACATCTGATTGGTTGACGAAAAAGACATCCGCACCTCGGACTCCGAATCCGCTAGGCTACAGCAACACCACAGCCCCCGACCTGATGTTCCCAGTGATTAATCTGCGCACATTAAATAAATGTGGCTATCATTATAGGTAGCCGAGTTATTCTTTGTTGAAATTTAAAACTTTGGCATTCAAGAAGTTTCTCCTCCCGTTAAAACATAGAGGAATGGACCACCCGACGCGAGCCACGTATCGAGCTAAACCAGGCCATCCAATGTACTACCCCTGCTTCTGTAAAACGTCAACACCCCTAATCCTACCCCGCCGCGGGAAGGCAAGGGAGACAGCAGGCCACAACACTGTCAAAAGTCTCAAAGTCGGTTTGTCCGTCTTACTGGCGGGTGTATTTTTTCTATTCCATTTCATTTCATTATAGTGGGCCGTTCCATTAGCTCAGTTCTTGACTGGGTGTAACGCCATCCTCGCACTATATCCTACTTATCTGGCCCACTCCCGATAACAAACAACAACAGCCACGATGTCCACACTTCGAAAAATTGTCCGGACGACCTTATTCCCCCGGAGGAGGGACGATGGGATTGAGTTGGGGCGGGGGAAAAAGTCCAAGTCGTCCGGCGGTGGTGATAAGGTGCGTATTAAGCGGGTAGTAAAACCTTTCCACGGATGTTGTGTTGACGGATTTGATAGAAGTTGGGGGAGCCGGTTTATGGCATGCACGTGTTAAATCCGGAGCGTACAGACGCTAATGTTGAGTGTGTCTCCTCCTCCTCTCCCTAGTAGTCATGATGACGAAGAGATTCAGAGGGTAAAATTGCTGTCGGGTGAGGTGGGTGCCTAATTGATGCTTAATAGTATAATCGCTGTGCACGGCCTTGGTGGTCATGCGTTCCGCTCGTGGATTCATGAGGCGACGGATAAAATGTGGTTGAGGGACTTTCTCCCACATCAGGTCCCAAGGGCACGCATCGCTACCTTCGGATACGACGCTAGAGTGGCGCGGAGTCGTGCGGTAGTCGAGTCCCTGGATAGTGCGCAGAGCTTGCTAGTCGACGTGAAGTTGTTGAGATCTACACCAGAGGTGTGTTGCTATTCGCAGTTAGTTTGGCATTTAAGTTGATTTTGTCCAGAAGCGAGAAAGGCCGCTTGTGCTTATTGGTCATAGCCTTGGTGGGATAATTATTAAAAAGGTGTCTTTGCTGTTACCACGATCCCGTAGATTGGCAGTAGTCTGATAATGTTTTAGGCCTTGGTGATTGCACAACAACAGGCCGACTCCCGTTGCGTTCTTGATAAGATGTGCTGTGTAGTATTCCTCGGCGTACCGCACCTCGGCTCCCCAGCGGCGAACACGGCGGAAACGCTCGTTAGCATAGCTCAGATATTCGGAGACTTTAATACAAGGCATCTAGAGGAGCTTAAGAGGGAGTCGCCCGCTTTGAGAGATCTCGCACAAGCATTTGGTCAACTCGAGGGGTTTAAAATTATTACAGTCACAGAGGGCCTTGAGACGGCGATTCCTTTCACTAATAGGTCCGTTCATGTAAGTTCAGTCTCGTGGCGGGAGATGGAGACCTCACTGATAAGTGATATTAGGTTGTTCCGCAAACATCCGCATCACTTCATATGGGAGGTAGGGAAACGGTGATATCAATGGATGGCGCGGATCACCACATGATATGCAAGTTTGGGGACAGTGAGGATGGCCAATACGGCAGGATATGGAAGAGTATCAACCTGTTTCTCGCTGAATGGGAATCCAAATACCGGGTGCAAGTTAACGGACCGCCGACCCCGCCGCTGCAGAACGCGCGGGCACCCCAGACCGGAGGATTCCTACCGGTCGAGTCTCCGGCCCCTTCTCCATCGGGATACATGCCTCCAATTACGCCGGAACAGGCCGAGCAGCTTTCGTTCTTGACCCGGAGGAGAATGCCCACACAGCCTATAGAACTGGATGACCTGATAGCTCGGCGCCCACTCTTGCACCCACCCCACGGTTCTCCTCCCGCACCGCCCCTCCTTCTCCGAGAACCAAGTTACTCACTCTCCCTCTCCCGCTCCTCGACCCTCCCGGTAACTTCGTCTCCTTTTCCCCTGAGCCGGAGGTCCACCGCACTGGCCACGTCTCCGCCATCTTCATCGCCCACGCCACAAGCACTGCACAGGGCAGTTCGCGAAAGAAACTTCCCATTTGCAAAGCATTTGTTGGAGCAGACCTCAGGAAATGGCGTCAACTCTGCTAACGTCCAGGGCCGATATCCGTTGTCTATTGCCGCGGCAATGGGCGATGGGGACCTCGTCCGCCTTCTTCTTTTCTGGGGCGCGAATGTGAACGCCCGGGATGACATGGGACGCACAGCACTGCATCGGGCAGCGGGATGCGGGATGACTAGAGTTGTTGAAATATTATTGGAAAAAGGCGCGGGCAAGGGGGTCACAGATTTTACAGGAAAGACTGCTCTGGACTGGGCGGATAAGGAGGATGTTAGGGAGCTATTACTCCAGGAGCAGTCAGAGGGGGAGGTGGAAGCAGAGGTGGATTAGCGAGGTGTAAGTTACCTTTTTCGGCGTGTATTTCTCTGCCTAGTGCCGCTGGGGCTTTTAGAATACGCTGGTGTTTGAATTGATGCTCGTTAGCATTGGTGATGCCCGATGTCTTAATATAATGCGCTCTGGGGTTATGGGTTTAATGACATTTGACGAGCAATAATTGGTTCTGTTCTTCGGAGGCCGGCTCGGGTTTGCAACAGAGATTTTTGAAGTGAAAAAGCATTGGGAAAGGGAATACCAGCTGGATTGACCAATAAAAATACAATTCAACGGGGGGTCTTTCTTATTTTATTTTCTTATCTGGACGAGCTATTGCTAAGTGGTTGGGGTGCAAGTGATTGCTTAAGGTATCCACAGATTGGGAAAAAGTGTTATTTTAGACGGAAAATATTTGTGTGTTGACCATATTCAAATGAGGCCTCACGAGTGCCTCCCGGATATCCCGGGGCGCTTGCTATCCATCCGCCCAACTTGTCACCAGGTTGGGTTTAGAATCTAACTTATCTCGAGTCTATCACGCACCATACCCACGGCACCCTCAAAAGACCGCGAGCGAGAGATTGTATAAGGCGGAAGCTACTGTGTTATGAGAGAATAGATTCCGGGATCCCTGGAGCTAGAATGACGGCGGATCCGTGATCAAATAGTCATGCAGTAATCGGGTGATGATTCGTGATCCCAACTGCAAACCACCACTTCCCTTCCTCTCTGATGTATGATAGCTACGGATTTGCCTTTGGTCTAATAGATGTATTCCTGTTTATCCCGTGAATAGCTTATTCTCTCTCTCTTTCTCTTTTCCAGACACAACGGTCAATCATTCATTTTTTATACATGTCTCCTCATTGGACCGTTAGGTACAGGCAGAGCATGCGATTAATTATTCTATATTATAAAGATACTATTGATATTGTGTTGATGCTGGAAAACTCCACTTCTGAAGAGTGCGATGTGTTGGTGAGTGGTAGTGCTTGGAAGTTGGACTTGAGGGAGGTGTGACGGATCGCATTCTGACAACGAAGATGGTGATAGAATATACTGGGGGTGGTGGAAGATACTTGTGGTGTTAGTGTGGAAACCTCTGGAGAACAGGAGATTTAGAGATACCTTACTTTTGTTGTAAAGGATATTGGAAAATGATCTTTCCTTTGTCTTTGCTCGAAGGTCAGGGAGGATCGGAGAGTCCTGCAGCGAACAAGAGATAGTTTTGGAGTTTCTAATCTTTCACTATTTTTTAGTTTTGTTTTTTCCTGAAGATGTTAGGTAGAGGGCCAACCTCTGACGAACTCGAGATAGAGCCTTAGCAAAAATAGTTTCCTTCTCCTCATGTCTCCCTTAACTGATCATCCCTCATCTCCACTCTCCCTCTGCTGCGCGCTCATCACCACTGATATATTCTCGGTATCGAATACAACAATTTTGCGCTTGTCGTCGGAGCTCACAGAGACGTACCGAACAACTTCTGGGTGCACAGCTGCGTCAAGGAATCCATTTTGACTAGAGATAATCTTTGAGGACCCAGAAGTATCCTCAATGTGTATGGTGTATCTCCCATAATTTTACTTAACCCAGGGACATTTATGCTGCAGAGGGAAGATATGTGCAGCTTCGAAGGTACCCCAGTTGTTGGCCCGGGGATTCACAGGTCCTGAGATAACACATTTCCCATCACCAACACGGATTTCACAACTGAATCATCCTCGTCTGTGGGAGATATTCTGGGAAATTATCTGGGACGTCAAAGTCTCGTCACTGACCCCGTCAGAGCCTGGCAAAGTTAGCAAGAGGGGTATTAGGTGAATGGGGATAAAGTGCATACTATCAAAATTAGTGATGGGCACGAGTATGATAAGATACTCGAGCAAATTAGAAGCCGAGAATCGAATGATCGAGTAAAGTCGCTTACGATCGATTTTGCCCCGATATAATTGCTTTCATATGGAGATGATAAAGGGGGGAAATTTTTGGTAAAGTAAATTTGAAGGGAATTGTGTCGAAGAATGAATAGAGTCTTTTTGTTGGGAGCGTGTTGCATGTGCGGGATAGGTAGTGTTTGCACTAATAAATGATATCAAATGATTGCCGAATTCGTTGAATATTGGGGCGGGTAGCGGTCGAAATGAAAATGGAGGTAATGATTGGATCGGAGGTTTTACATTGTGGAAGTGAGAAGAAAATAGCGTGATTGGGTTGAGACTAGAGACGTTTACTTCGTTGGTCTGATGAAAGTCGAAGAACAGAGAAGAGGAGAGACGAAAGGAAGATAAGAAGGGAAATTTATAATTATGACCCTAAATCTAGTTACACATATAATAATTATCAAACCAATAATAACCTTAGG